TCCCCATTATGCATGGCCCAAAGGCACAGAATACAGCCATCTCCCTGAAGCTAAGCAGGACTGGGTTGGGTCTGTTCCTGGATGGAAGGCTACCCGGCATCCCCATACAAGCTAACTTGGTGGGAACATAAGTGGACAGACTAGAGAACCCACAAATATCAAAGCAATGGTGCAGATCTGCTTGATAACACACACAGAAGCAGAGGGAATGGAACAGGAGGCAGAAGCACAAAGGCTATGTGGGCAGAGCAAGAGGGAAAAGTATCTTTTAAGAAAGACAGAAACCCAGTTTGGGCTTTTTGTTCTGCTGTTTCTGCTGGTTTCATAGAAGTCGGTTGAGGGTATGAGTAGGATTAAGGTATTCTACGCCATCTTTTTGGTTACATGCTTTAAGTTATTGAATGTGACTTGATGAAGCTTTTTCATTAAGCGGGTTTTCTATACGTTTTAGCATGCATCAATGAAATAATGAGGAAGGGGCTGGGCTGTGTGGAGGAGGCAGCAGGGGCAGAACCTCATCCAGGGTGTAGGAGGAAAAAGGGCTGCAGCTGGCGGGTGGAGGGAGGCGTGGGTCTGCAAAGGATCTGGTGAAGCTGCTCCTCTGAGCTGCCACGTCCATAAGGCAAACTCGGCCTTATTCACATGGCAGCTTTGGTTCACTTGATCAACACGTCTGGGTTCTCCACATGCAAAGTTCACGCCCCGCTTAAGGACAATGGCTTTGGTAAGCAATATAATATACGGAGCTATAACCCAGAAACATTTGCTTTTAAGCTTGTGACTGTGCAAGCTCTACCTCTGTGCATGTGTGTGCACATGGCAGAATTCACTTCCCATACATAGTAACGGGTATGATGTTGAATGGTCTGAAGGCGTTTCCCCCCCTAAGCAACGGCGGTCGCATGTCTTGGGAGTGGATCTGGGAGGAGAGAGGACTCTTGTGTATGTGTGGGGGGGCACGTCTGAGTTATCAAAGCAGAGGGCACATCATCAGTTTGCATAAATTATGCACATGCTAATTGTATATACGAATGCAAATTTGGAAATAATGACTAATAATACAGTCTATCCGGTTACTGCGGGGAAGATTTTGACTTGGTGACCACCATGGATCTTCCTGAACTGATGTCCCAGTGCTCCTTGCTGATGGGCATCTCTGAGGCTCCTCCATGCCCTCTCTTCCAATGGTCCCTTGCTTTTAATCCAAACTTGGGCTGGATAGCCTTTCAGTCAGAGGATCCTTTCAAAGCTGAGGACAGTCCTCTTGCAACCCATCAAAAACAGGAGAGTCACCTACGCACAGACCTCTTCTTACAGGGGTTCACTTGCCAAAAAGAATTACAATAAAATGCTGCTGGTCAGACTGAACCCAAACAACAAAAAGGTGCTTTGGCTTTTCTTGCCCAAAGCCCAGAAACAGAAAACTTAAGTGTACCTTGTGAAAATCCTGGGGATACAAGCAGTAGCTTGTACAAGCAGTTTTGCACATGAGGAAGGTTTTCGTGAGAAGTTCCCCTTCAAAACCACACAGCCACATGCTGTTCCCCACCACCTGTCAGTCCCGGCCTCCCCACCCCCAAATTAAAACTACATTAGAATGTCACACAATGGTCTGTTCAAACTGATACAGAGTGTACACTATAAGAGGCTCACATCTGCAGCCTAATCTTCCTCCATTAAGCACATTGTGGCATATACGAGGTGTGTGTGACTCCACTTGATCCTCAGAATAACGCTGATTTGCCTGCAGTCACCCACTGACCTTCAAAGCTCAAAAAGGAAGCGAATCCAGATCTCCCCGGCCAGAGCTGAACCCCTTAGCCACCACACAGCCCTTTGGCAGCTCACTGTCCCATGACCGTTGACCTAAATGAGGTCTCCTGCTATAGGGAACCGCTCCCTGGTCTGGGTGTGTATGCACACGCACTCTTGCACAGCTGCCAGGCCCAGTTCAGCATCCCTTGCTGCTCCAAGCCTGGTGCCCGGGCGGCCGCCATCACCTTCTCACCTGCTCACTTGCCCAGCCTACCTGCTTGGCTGGCTGCTCCCTCATTTGCATGACCGACCAGTTTATTTATTTATTTATTTATTTAAAACATTTCTATGCCGCCCCCATCACAACAAAGCCTCGGGGCGGCTCACAAAGAATACATAAAACATAAATAATAATAATATAACAATTTAAAAGAAAAAAACAACAACATTTAAAAACCCCTGGTGCATTCTCGGCTAAAAAATTTAAAATCCTAATTAATACAATAATTTAGCAATTAAAATAAGTTTTAAATAAAAAGGTCTTAGCCTGGCGCCAAAAAACAAATAACGACGGCACCAGGTGGACCTCTCTGGGGAGTGCATTCCATAGATGGGGCGCCACCACGGAGAAAGCCCTCCTCCGGGTACTCACCCTCCTAATTTCCTTCCTGGAGGGTTCCCGGAGAAGGGCATCCGTTGCTGATCTCAAGGGGCGGGAGGGCATATATGGGTGCAAGTGTTCCTTTATCCAAGTCCCAAGCCGTTCAGGGCTTTATAGGTCATAACCAACACCTTGAATTGGGCCCAGACTTCAATCAGGAGCCAGTGGAGCTGACGGAGAACTGGGGTTATATGAGAACGACACCCAGTCCCCGTCAGCAACCTGGCAGCTCTATTCTGCACCAACTGAAGTATCCGGACCGTCTTCAAGGGTAGCCCCACATAGAGCGCGTTACAGAAATCTAATCGGGAAGTGACCTGTGCATGTGTCACTGTCGCCAGGCAGTTGGCCATTCCTCTGCCTTGGCCTGCAGCTGCAGGGCTCCTGCAAGTCAGCTGTCCTCTAGCCTGTGGCCGGGGCACCAATATGGGGGCAGCCAGCCAGCCAGCCAGCCAGCCAGTGTGGGTGGATGGACAGTGAGAACTGGAAGCTGGCAGAGTATCCGACAGGTTGCTCCACAGCCACTTTCTTGCTGTATCAGGTCCCCCAGTGGGAGTTAAGGGCCCTCCTGGCAGGAATGGAGGGAAGGGAAGAGCAATGCAATTCTAATGCTAGGGCTGGTCCTAACAGCCGAGGGGATGATGAGCTCTTGCACTTCCAACTTACCCTACAATGGGTCAACATATAGGAGTGTTTCTTTCAGTTCTTGATCTATAAAGCTTAGCTATTCTTCCAGAGATATATTTCTTTCCCACCCAGGTTCTAGCACTATAATGCATTGAACAAAAACAATACCTTATCTCAAAATCACTTTAAATAATCTTCCAAGAACTGAATTTCATCCGGTCACAACTCTGATTATTGCTTCTGTTATGCAGTGGTTACATGTGGGGATCCCAAGGGGCAAGGGTCTCTTCCCTTTGTTTTTTAAAAAAGTTTTACTGCTTATACATGGGGGGGGGGGGAATGTGCTGCAATTCAGTGTTTTAAATGATGGCACTATGTGGACTGCATATCAATGAGCCTTTCTTAATCTTGTCAGTGATGGAACATTTTTGTGGTGGGAGGTGAATGTCTCTGCTAGCACACAGGAGGATGATGAGATAAGCTTCTCTCCCTCCCCATCAGATCCAGCACTTGCAGAATAAAAGACCCCTTCACAAGCAAAACCCAGAAAGAACCTTGCTTGAAGAATAAAAAGATAGCAAATTTGCACAGGTGAACAACAAAAGAATGACCCCCCCCCCCAGCTTGAGTAATGCATCCATTTGAGATCCTACTTCCTGGTGCACTTATTTATTGCTTTTCACAGGGCTGCTCCAGTGTAAACACTGAGGGTCCTTTCCCTGAATTGGGCAGTGTGGTGGCAACAAGTGACCAACTGCTGTTTGTAATTGGGAGAGGTAGTGTGGTATTATGGTTAGTGCTGAACTGGAGAGCAGAGATCTTTTATTTATGCATGTATTGTATTTATATTGAATTTTATTCGGCCAGGGCGGCTTATTTTATTTTACTGTATATATTTTAATTGTCATTGTTTTAATGTATTTTGTATTCAATGTTGTAAGCCGCCCCGAGGCCTTGGCAAGGGGCAGCATAGAAATGTTTTAATAAATAAATAAATAAATATCCCATCTTCTTTCTTCCAAGGAACCCAAGACAGCTAACATAATTCTCCTCCTCCTCTCCCTAATTTATCCTCAACAACAACCCTGTTAGGTAATTTGGGCCGAGAGTCTGACTGCTGCAAAGTTACCCCATTGGCTCTATGAGGACTAGAACCCCAATTGCACTAGAACCCCGATTGCTTGAGTCCCAGTCCCACACTCTTAACTGCTACACCACACTGGCAATCTAGTGTAGTTGTAGTTCCTTCTTGTCTATAAATCCCACAGGGAATCTTTCGCCAGTCACTCACTCTCAGCCTAGCCTACCTCACAAGTCTGTTGTCATGAGGATAAAATGAGTGGAGAACGATGCAGGCCGCCTCGGGTTCCTTGCAAGGGGAAAAAGGAGGAATATACTGTACATATAACTTAATTATTATTGTATTATTTAAAATAAATCGTGATTCTTGTAAAACAAACCGACAGCGCTGATGAAGAGCTGCGGAGCTTCTCTTCAGGCACGTTTTGCGGCTCAGAGTTTCAGACAAATGCTTGCGTGTCTCTCTCAGGAAGAAAAGTTTGACGAAACCTTCCAGGCCACAATTCATCAAGAACTGCACTGGGCTCTGGGAACGCTTCTTAAGCGACGCGGGTGGGCAGAGGCCGGACACTGGCGAGCCGCCCCCTCTCCCGCCTGCCTGCCTGCCTGCCTGCCTCCGCTGCAAGCCCCTCGAAGCCCCTCCCTCAGACGCTCCGCGACTCGCAACAGTAGACCGGGCGCCTCCCTCTTTCATTGTTGGCTGTCAGTTACTTCCTCCCTCGCTCCGCCCAAGCGCCTGCAGCACCCTTCGCCAATCACTCGCCTTCTCCAAAAGGATGACCTCACCTTCTCTCTCCCCATTGGCTAGCTATATTAAGAAAGTAGCCGGTCCCTTTAAATAGCGGCGTCCGGTCGTCGGGGCGGTATGGACTAAAAGACAGAGAAATCCTCCGCCTGCAGCCGCAGGTTTCTTAAAGGCGCAGCCGCGCGGAGCCCCGTTGTTGTGTCTCCCGAGAAGAGCGTTGCAAAAGGGCAGAGGCGGGGAGCTGGCAAGGCGAGAAGGAGAACGTGGAAGAGGAAGAGGCGAAGAGAAGCCTGCATCCGATCCCTTGTTGCTGGGCTTTTCCTTCCTCCTTTCGCAAACCGGTTGGGCAAAAGGCAGCAACAGAAGAAGCCACGGCGGAGTTGCCTCAGACGAAGAAAGCAGCGGCGGCCCTTGCTTGCTTGCTCGCTCGCTCGTTTCCTTCCTTCTCCAGCGCGCGGGGACGGGTGGAGAGCGGAGAGCGGCGGCCACGAAGAGCCCCGGACGGAGAGGAGTGGGCGGTGTCCCGCTTCAGGAGCCGGGCGGTGACGGAAGTGCTCCCCACCGCGCCTACAGAAGAGACCGCAGCCCGGTCCTCTCCTGCGCTATAGCTCGCCACGGTGCCCTGCAGAAAACGAGAGGAGGCAGCCGCCGCCGCCGCCGCAAATCGCGGGGAAGGGGACGTCTCGATCTCCCTGCTGGAGTCGCATAGCCGGGCGGGCTTGGCGAACCTGGCCATGGCGGCGATCCGCAAGAAGCTGGTGGTGGTTGGGGACGGGGCGTGCGGCAAGACGTGCCTGCTGATCGTCTTCAGCAAGGACGAGTTCCCGGAGGTCTACGTGCCCACCGTCTTCGAGAACTACGTGGCTGACATCGAGGTGGACGGCAAGCAGGTGGAACTGGCGCTCTGGGACACAGCCGGCCAGGAAGACTACGACCGCCTGCGCCCGCTCTCCTACCCGGACACCGACGTGATCCTCATGTGCTTCTCGGTGGACAGCCCGGACTCCTTGGAGAACATCCCGGAGAAGTGGGTGCCCGAGGTCAAGCACTTCTGCCCCAACGTGCCTATCATCCTCGTAGCCAACAAGAAGGATTTGCGCAACGACGAGCACGTCCGCAACGAGCTGGCTCGCATGAAGCAGGAGCCCGTGCGCACCGAGGACGGCCGAGCCATGGCCCTCCGCATCCAAGCGTACGATTACCTCGAGTGCTCGGCCAAGACGAAGGAAGGCGTGCGGGAGGTCTTCGAGACGGCCACGCGGGCCGCCTTGCAGAAGCGCTACGGCACCCAGAACGGCTGCATCAACTGCTGCAAGGTGCTATAATAAGGCGGACCAGGGAGCGGGGCGGGGGTGGCGGATTTGGAGGGACTGGGCTGGATCGGAGAGCCTTCCGCGCGCAGAAACGAACAAGCGAGGGAGGGGGCGCTTGTCCAGCGGGGACGGGACGGGGGCTGTGTGTATGTGAGTGTGGGACGCGGAGAGGCTGTGGGGAAGGGGCGGACCCCTTGCACACGCATCGCCCCGTGTCATCAGCCCAGCTCGCCCGTCCGAGGGCTACCGAGAGACCTGAATGTATCCGGCAAAGCCGATCTCCCGCCTGCTTTCTTTCCTTGCTGGTGGGGGCTGCGAGTGTGCGTTGCCTTGCGGCTTCTTGCACCAATCCAACCCGAAAGACGCTCCCTCGATCTACTCTGGTGGCGGTTCTCGGACTCCTCCCACCGTATCGTCGCGCTCCTTCGCCTCTGCGGCCTTGGACCGGCTGAAGGCGATGCACCAAAGTCTACACAGAGACACTGGTGGAGAGATTTGCTTTCCCTCATCCTCCTCGGGGGTCCAGCCTTGCGCACAACCACCGGAACCCCCATCCTGCTGTGAATTCGAACTTTCCTGGATGGTTTGAAAGGGGCGGGGCGTATGTGGAGCTTCTCCGAGGGGGCGGGAGGTCTGCGGTTGTGTACATGTATATAAAATGTTCTCTTGCTCGAACTGGGATATTGCCAACGGTGTGGCCTATTTAAACACTGGACCTTCCCCCCAGCCCTGCTTGGAGACTTTTATCCAGTTATGGGGGCGGGGGGGGAGCCCAACATGGGGCTTCATATTTCCTGTGTCTTCAGTGCTGAAAAGTTTTTTTTTCCTTTTGCAGTGACTCTTCTAAAAAAAGAGATTTGAAATTCCTCGGGTTTCTGAGGAATAGAGAAAGGGAGCAAGAGCTGGGTGGGGAAAGAATAAATTGGGTTGACAGTTTTCATGAGTCTTGTGCCTGCTCTCTTTGGTCCCCCTTTTACTTTTTATGGGAGGGGGGTGAGTATGCCAATGCTTCAGTTTGATTTATTTAAATAAATTATCTACCTTTGCAAAAAAGAATAGAAGAGAGAACTTATTTTGCACAACTAGGGTGTTTTTATTTGGACACTTTATATGCACTTGTAATTGCGATCTGACACTGTAACATTACAAAAAATCCTTAAATCAGAGCCTCATTTTGAGCACAATTCAGTTAAGCACTTTCCAGTGGAACACTTCTCCAGTCCCCATTGATTTCCGATTCTGAGCCTGTGAAATCACTTTTGACAGTTGCTCATCCATGGACTTGAAAAGAGTTTCCTTTGGCTGAGTTGTGCCCTTTCTGTTTGAGTGATTGACTCAAGAAGCAAAACCACTGAAATTATTTTGTTGCTGCCTCAACAAAAAAGTGGAAACACTGTCTCGCCCCAAGACACTTTTATTTTTTGCTGGGGATGATGTTTGTTTGTCTTTTTCTGGGGGGGGGGGTCCTTTTTATAGCAGTCTCTGGGCTCACCTAAAACAGTAGTACACTTATTTTCACAGATCAGCTTCTAGGCCCTTGTGAGAAGGTGCTCTTCTGTTTCAGAGAACTAGTTGACTTCCCCCACCTGCCCTCATTACCATTTTTTTTTTTTTGTAAACAAAGGTACTAAGTACTTTCTGTAAAATGGCAACAACAACCCACAGTGCTAAATTTACCTGGTAAAAGGCAAAAAGACATGTGAAGTTTACATAAAATCAAATAAGCTGTGTATGCAGTTCTTGTTTTTGGATAAAGTATTAAAAGATTCTATGATTACACTCAAAAGATGCTTTCTCTTTTTTGGTTGGTGTAATAAATGAAGCCCTTCTGGTTCTGGACAAGGGAGAGTGTGTAGCTTTAAAGTGCAGTTGTGAGTATTGCTGGTGCTTCAGGTCATTATTTCAGCTGGAACTCTCTTCTGTTTTTTCACTGATGTATTTTTTCACTGAAGGAAATCTCCAGTGATCAGCCCCCACACTGAACTTAGACGCTTACATACTCTTTGGGTAGCATACTGGATGCAGTGAAAACCTGCATAGAGTTCAGTTATTTAAATCCCATGAAACACCCTAAATGTATCTTTGCCACCACAAGGGTAGCTTGCACTATGGTGATGTCTGCTTTTAGGAAAGGAGAGGGGAAGCTGCTCAAAAACAGTATTTGAGACTCTTTTCTGGTTCCAAAACAAACTGTGGGACAGCATAAAAAAGCCTTTGTCCTGCTGGGTTGAGGTCAGTGCTTGTTGCCCTGTTTCTTCTGGGTCTTAATGCTCCTTCTCTTTACACAGCCTAAATAGCACAATAAACTGTTTTACAAACTGGTTTATACACGTGTATGTTGTAAGGCCCAGGTTGCATGTGTGAGACCAATCAGGCAAAAATCAGTTCTAACACTGGCATTTTATCCACAAGCCATTCTTGCTGTCCTGGATGCAATCTTATGGTCTTGTGCTTTACTATATGAAAGCAATCAGTGCTCCCCTCACTTATTTCTGCAGAAGTCTGTGTTTTTTCTGTATTTTGTTCTATTTTTTTACAGTGAATACAGAGAAAATTAAAATTTCAGGTAACTGACATACAGTGCTAACCTGTGGACTTGATGTGGTTTTCCCTTATTACACTATAATAATAAGTGGGAGGAAGAGAATACAGAACACAAACTATCTTTTCCCAACCTGATGCCTCTCAGGTGTTTTGAATTCCAGCTCCAAACCTCACACAATTGGCCATGTTGGCTGGGGTGATGAATTGAGAAAACAGAAAACATCTGGATGGGTATCACATTGGGGAAGGTTGCCAGAGAGAAAGCCACCTCACTAGAGAAATCCCTGGAATGGATCACCGGAACCCAAGTGTGGTTTCACTTCAACCAGGTTGCACCAGCAGAAGTAGTTTGTCAATTGTCCCTGTCAAGTCAGAATTGTCTCACAATTTTGACACTGTGTGCAGTATTTTTGTTTTAGAGGAAGGAGGGCTTTGTGCATAAAGGAGAAAAATGTGCATTTGTTGAGATGAGCTAACTTTGAGTCATTATCTTTTGAAGTACTTTATAAAGGCTATTTTTGTCTTTATAAAGAGGAATCATGCCTTGGAGAGCCAAGTTAGGGTGGGGTGGAATTCATACTGCAGAAGTAATACAGAGCCAAATACTTTCCTTTGAGAAAATAAGCTTAAATACATTCAGCTCAACAGCCTAAATGAATTCAAGTAAATGACCTGGCAAAAAATGGCTTGGATCAAATCAAGTTTGGTTATGAAACCTAGTCATTAAAATATTTATTTATTTATTTATTTATTAAAACATTTCTATGCCGTCCCTTGCCGAAGCCTCGGGGCGGCTCACAGCACAAAATAAAATACAATAAAATACAAAAATAACAATATAAAATTAAACAATATAAAAATATGCATCATTCTGGATAAGAAAGTACAGAAAACTCGGCCAGCATTGAAGATTGTACCAAAGTGAATTTCTTTGACATCACCTAATTTCTCATGTAAAGTTTGTTCTCAAGAAAGCATATTTTTTCTTTATTCTGCCTTTGCCCATGGTTCATAAACCACAAAGCTGGCACGTTGGAGTGGTACTGCTGTTATCTAACCTACTCAGTGACGGTTAGGTAGAATGAAATCTGACCACTCTTCTTCAGCCAGTTCTCTACAACGCACTGCCAGTGCATTTGGTACACCAGCCTGGACATGGATGAGTCCAAGGCCTACAGCAAAATCGAGGTCTATGAGTGGTGTCTGGTAGACAATGCCACCTCCAGACTTTCCTTGGACTTGACTACAGGCATGCTTCATTCACTCCCATTTTTCATTCCCTTCTTCAGGCTTCCCCGAACTTTCACATTAGCAGACCAAGCCCTAATTCCTTCCTTTCTTGACCCATTATAGGAAGGCTGATGTACCTACAGAAGTACACATGTGTCAGCATAGTTCCTGCGCACCTGAATGTGCTTGTGCGCTTGCACTCCAACACTCGTCCTGCTTTGGTGAACCCGGTGGCATGTGTCTATGGATGGTGCATGCCCATTATTTATTTTTTCGATTTATATCCTGCCTTTTTCCTACAAAGGCTCAAGGCAGCTTACATCTTTCTCCTCCTCCATCTCATCCCCACAACAACCACCCTGTGAGGTAGGTTGGGCTGAGAGTCTGTGACTGGCCCAAAGTCACCCAGTTGGCTCCATGGCCGAGTGGGGACTAGAACCCAGATCCTCTGAGTCCCAGTCCCAGGCTCTTAGCCACTACGCCACTTAGCCAATTCTCATTATTCTCACCCAGGATCAGGATGTCTCCTGCAAGACTCGAATGAGATGGTGGGGGTGGTGCGTGCTTAAAGGCCGCTCTTGATACGGCTGTTCTGCGTGCATATTCAGCTAATTTTGCTGGGGGTGGTAAGTATACAAGGAAAGTAAGGATTGCTCAAATGGATACTTTTGACTAGTTTATATAGAGAAGATCTCTCCTTTCAGGATGAACCACTTACCATAGGTTATGAGTGACACCAACATGTGCTCTGAAGCTGGGGGCATGTTACCCCTGAGCAGATGAGAGGTCTCAGATAGATGTGCCAGATTGGCTGAGTGGCCGTCACCTCCACTATTTCATCTGGGATAAAGGGAGGTTTTATTTAAACTGATCTGCCATTTAAAAGCAGCATCTGTAGGCCAGAGGGCATTTTGAGACTGGCCTATAGTTAGGCAGATCTTCTGGGTCAGGGAAAGTTGTATTCAATTAAGGTCTCACTACTTCCCCTTTTAAGCAAGAGGGAAGAGCAGCCTGCTTCCACAAGGAGGAAGGAATAACTTCCTTTAAAACAAAAAAAGATCCCTGACTTTCAGAAGCTGCATAGAAAGGCTGATCCAGGCTATGAGCACTTATTTTATCTGCTGTTGTCAAAGGAGCAGCCTCTGCTTTTTCTTAGCTTGGGCCAATCTTTTTATGGCTACGGCAAGGCTCTTCCCTACTGTTGCTGCTTTTTCCCTTCAAGGAAGGGATGCGAACACACAAACTGCTTTGTTTGCAAATAAATTCTAACATGGGGGTGTCCTTGCACATATTCTACTGTGGACATTTCTGGATTCTTGGGCAGAATGCAACAAGAATAGATAGCATGAATCAATTGTTTGATTAATCACAGGACCCAAGGTGGTCTACATGATGTCCTTCCTCTCTGTTTTATCTACACAATAATCCTGTGAAGCAGGTTGGGATGAAAGTTAGCAACAGCGTGAACTAAGCCTCATGGCTGAATGGGAAGTAGAACCAGCATTTCCCCCATCCTTGTCCAACATTATAACCATTACACTGCACTAGTTGTCATTTAGATACATGTGGGATTGAAAAGGTGACATGATGGAGCAAAAAAAAAAAAAAAAAAAAAAGTCAATATTTTGCTGTTTGTCTGTCACCTGGAATGAAAGCTGTGTTTTGGTCTAACATCCAGACTGAGGAGCAGCATGTCAGTATTTCTCAAAGCATCTTAAGCCAAATTCTTTCAAAGGAGGCATTAAAACCAAGACCCTTAAAAAGGTTCCACTTAAAAACTCATGTACTTACCACGTCCACTGTGTTTTCCTCCAAAACAGCTGCCCTCTGGACTTGAGATACGTTGGAGCCGTGACAGAAGTTCGACTCAGTAGAAATGAGTAGATTTGCATACATCTTAACGTGCTAGCAAATGATTTATCTGCAAAATGCAAATCATTCACAACTTCCGATCTACCTGCGTGTGGCGTGATGTTACTCAACCTGTTCCACTTATCGGGAAGATAAAAGATAATTCAAAAGTCCTCCATTTCTCTTCTTGGCAATGTCAGAGCTCTAATGCTTTTTTGAAATAACGCTTTAAGATGGTTTCCAGATGGAAGGTTGAAGATCACTAACAATCCAAAGACAGCTTTATTGTCTTTTCCTCCTAAATGAATTTATTTTCTGGATGGGAAAGGGTTGGAACAAGCAGCGGGAATACGGGCAGGATACATAAGGAGCAGTGACAGCCGGGATCCTTATAAAACGGGGAGCAGCATCGTCTTGTAAAATCCTCACCTTACAACCTCAGACTGGCGCTTCGAAGAAGTACTTACTCTATACCATACTAAATTTGTATTCTGTTTCATAAACCCGAAGTGACCTAATGCTACATTTATCTCATATATATTTTACACCACTCTGCACTCTCCCGAGGCAGTTTAGTAACAGAGAATAACAGAACAACTGAAATGTGAGAGAAAAAAGAGAGTTCGAAGCCACAAATGCAAAAAAAAAAAAGCATAAAATAGTCAGGAGGAAGGCATTTTGATTTTAAAACCTTGGGAGACTTAAAAAAAGTCTTTGCCTGGTGCTGGAAGGAGTTAGGTAGGGAACAGGAGGAGAACTTCTCTGGGGAGACTATTTTGTAATGGGGGGGGGGGCAGCACCATGGAGGTCTTCTCTCTACTAGACACCTGGAGTTTAAGGTACCTGCAGGCCTCCAGTCTGGAGGAGGGTGTCTTTTTATATTCATTTCTTAGCACAAACACTCATCCAACAGAGTTCAATGGGGTTTACCACTAAGTAGAAACGTGTGAATCAGCAAAGCATGAGCTCATCAAAGTTCTCCAAATTCTAGCTTGAAACTCAGTCCAAATTGAGAACATATCAGATTGTGAGCATTGTTTTATTTTTCTTTTCTTTTCACCTGACAAGCAAGCTTTCCCAAGTGCATGTATCACTTGGGAAATGTACACAGTCTTCTTCCATTGAATAAAGTTTATCTGAACATATTTTTCATGCACATTT